TGCAAAACACCATGCAATGAACGCAGCAAACAATCACAAGATCACCCTTGAAGCAGCCATTACAATGCGAGTTGCAACCTTCCAGTGGCAAAACACAATGGCACGAGCACACAGACATGCAAGAAATGCAACTCCCAAAACCGGATCTCGGCGCCCAAGCCGAAAAATTACGATTTTGCAACGATGTTTAAAAGGATTTAATAAGGAAAATTCATCTGCTAAATGTCCGATAATTTAACGAAAACAAAGCCTTGCTGCAACAGCTTTATTGCGGGAAGGGATCCACCAACTGCAAAACACAATGTAACTACCGCAGCCAAGCGTCGCAAAACCACCCTTGAAGTAGCCATTACAATGCGAGGAGCACCTTGGGATAAGTTGGTTAGCAGACAAAGCAGTCCTCGATGATGACCTATGTCGGATGAAGTTGGTAACCAATGTCCGAGTTGTATTTGACTTTTTTGGAGGCCCATATTAGACTTCAGGACTGTAACCGCATGGCAAAGGTGGCTGTTTGATTCCACATTTCATCAGCCTGAAAAGGTCGGTAGTTTCCTGCAAGCAAAAATAGTTTTGGACCTACCGGGCCATCTGCCCTTGAGGATCTCATCGAAAACGAGAATCAGTCCAAGAAGGCATCCGTGAAACCGAGCAGCGGTGATACCAGGTCAGAAACTTCTGCATGACGCAGAAGAATGAAAGAGCGATGATCACTTGGTGCGCCCGGAATAGGTAGCTGCTGTGCACTTGTTCCAGATTCAAAGCTTCCAGGCCTCTTCATGCTAAGTTCGGCACCCAACCCATCCTGCAGAGATGGATCGCTAGTGGAAAGGGCACGACTTGAGTCAATATCTTTCCAAAGCAACTTGCAGTACTCCCTAAGAATCCTCTTTTGGTCCAAACGGCTGATTGGCCTGAAGCTTCATACATAATACGTACAATGTTCATGAGCTGAAGATGATTTTTGGATGAAAGAAATAGTCATCCGGCCTTCATCTGACCTCATGTTTTCAGGGTCCAAAGTTCCAAGGTTGCAAGGCTCCTTGGTTGCAGAGTTGCAGGCTTGGGCTTTGGGCAGCGAAAAAGCATCAAACAGCAACGTTGGTGATCTGTCCTGCCGCTGAGCCACTGTCCAGCGGTCTATTTTTGTCCCATGCAAACGTTGTGCAGCGTTGTGCAAACGCCTTGTGTTTGGAAGGCAGCTCTCGCAGTCTTGAAGAGCTACTATGAAGGCACTGAATCGGCGTGCATTCTAGCATGGGACAGGCACTTTTTTCTGCCGATGCATCTCAATCATATATCCTTTCAAAAAGCACATGCATCCAAATAGCATGTACCTAACTGTAGCTGTGTTGAACTGAAGCGATTCAACCGAACGCTTCAGTATAAATCTTAACCTTGTCACCATTGCCTCCTTCCGTGCAATGATCTTCAATGGCGGTTGTCACTGACTTGCAGGCCGCAGACGGCCCGCACATCCCCACCGTCACCAGCACGTCCTGGTGCTGCTGCAGGATGTTCAAGAACTCGGAGTTGAGCTGATGACGATCCCACATCCGATCGTTGGTTTCTGATCCCCGCCATTCTTGGAGCATGTTGCGGGCCGCATACTCCTGACATATGGGTCTGACCTTGCTCTGAAAGTAGGTCTCGTAGATGCTTCCGTCGCCTCGCCAAAACACATAGGCATTGGACCTGTTTAACTGGGCGAGTGAATGCATGCCCTGGGTGACGGCAGTGAAGCCGGTTCCCCAGCACACGAAAATCACCGCTGTGTCTTGGTAAAGGTCCCTGTTGGACAGCACCCCACCAAATGGCCCAGTCCAGCAAATCCTGAACCTTTCGTGGTAGTGCAGTGCTTCGAACACTTTGGACTTGGTCAGACTGGACCAATTTGCATACTGTGCGGCTATCTGGTCTTCCTGTACCTTTGGTGCCAACTTGATGTGAAGCTCCCCGCGCCCATCTTGACGTTGGGCCAGTGTGAAGGGTTGCCAAGAGGGAACTCCACGCACCTGCAATCGGACGTGCCCTGACTGATCCTGACCTTGAGAGGAACCGAGTTCAAGGCAAAGGACTGACACTGAATCCCGAGTGTCCCCTTCTTGTTGAAAATGTTCAAAATGACAATGCTCTTCATGGAACTGGGCTCGCTGCAAACCTGTGGCAGGGCTGAGGTGGCATTTGCAAACATGACGTGGTGACAGATGAAACTGGACATGTCCATCATCTCATCCTAGACTGCTGCTTTGTGTTCATTATTGTGGCAAAACAATTTTTGAAAGAAAGCACCAGCATGGGCTGAAAAATAACCTAGACAACGGTTGGCCCGAAAGCATTAGCATGGCAAAGATGTGGCGAGAAACCTTGGATTCCTGGCTGTCGCTGTGGCTCTGCCGAAGCTGGACGACAAATTGCCGGCGCGGTTGTAGCGAGAAACCGATTTTGATCGCAAATCGGGGTGTTTTCGCATCGCGGTGGAGGGTCCGCAAATTAAGATGTCAAAACATCGCACCCCTCTTTGCAGGAAGGTGTCACCTTGCATTTTTGAAGGAAGCCTAGAGCTTGTTGCGCTTACCCAAACATGTTTAACGTTGGTCTCCTGGACATGTTTGTGCAGTTTTTCTTCACTGACACGTCTGCACGCTGCGTACTTTTTGGAATTCATTTCCAGAGACGTTCCGTCGGTTGGTCCATGCTGTCAATATGTTCATTTCATCCACGCCACATCTGTTCGTGACGCGTTGACAATCTTGGAAAAGCCTTGCATGTTTGCGGTGCAACAAACTGCCTGTCAAAAGTTGTCAATCACACAGATCGAACACGCAACCCTGTTGCCACGACGTGGAACGGCGTCACCGCAAAACACTCCTACAAGCAATCTCGATTTTCTTTCTACAGCTATCCTATCTGGGGAAACTTCCGCCTCGGGTACTACTGGTATCTATGACAATTAGCAGTTCACGTTTGTTGGACACTCTTCTCAGACAATCTGCGATACACTCGTGTGGGACAGTCTTGTTACGACCATCTTGTAGGGACACGCTTGTAGGACACTCTGGTTGAGCACTGTTGTGCCCCTCTCGATCGAGACCCCTTCGCCAATGCTTCTGGGAACAATGTTATTGCAGTTTTGCGAGTTAGAGACTTACTGGTGGTTTGGTGCTTTCATGTTCAGAATAGACCAGTGCAAGCCAATACCTTCATATTAGCTATGCCAACGCCTGGCCTTGGTCCAATGCAAAATAGACGATGACCAAAAGAAGAAATGACCACATTGTCGGAGATCGCAAAGCACCACCATCCCCATGAAAGAGGCCCAAGAAGATGAAGACCACACTTGAAGACCTCTTCAGGAAGCGGAAAGTGCCGTAGCGCTTGTCCTTGCAGATAAAGTATGCTGGCAAGGTGAGTAGGACCGCAAGCAACATGAACACCCCTGTCCAGAAGGGCAGCTGCGGCAAGAAATCATTCTGCCAAACCCTCTTGCTGTACTTCTGAAGGCCATCTTTGCCAATCCAGAGGACATGCGCCATGCCGTGGACGAAGGCCATGACAATGAGCCTGCCACCAACCCAGCGGTGTATGTGCACTGCGTCATCTCGTGGGACGGAAAGCCCCATTGTTGTCAGTGTCAGCCTGAAGGCCCCTCCAAGAGAACAATGAAGAGTATGGGGGTATCCAAGTAAAAAGGTGCGGCTGATGTTTTGGCAAGGACAAAGAACCAACCTCCATCATTGGCTTTGTCCACGTGCAATGGAAAGCATGTCATGTGGCAGCCCCAAACCAGGTAGATCACAAAGAAGATCCAAAGCAGGGCCGTGACAAAACCAGGGCATCGACTTGCCAAGCATAATTTGGAGGGACGACTTGCGACAACTCCAATTGGGAGTCTGCACCACTATGTAGAGAAGTGGCACAGAAGTGTTGATCACGGCCAGGAGTACTGCAATCTCCACGTCAACCTCATACAGCTCTGGCCAAATTCCCCGTATGATGAGAATGAACTGCTCCATCCATTCGGAGAAGTTGATGAACATCAGCATGGCAAGGCCTGATAGGGCCTTCCTATCAAATATCGTGAAGGCTCTTGGGGATCCTGCATTTTGGATCCGTTGGTAAACATGTGGAAATGCTACAAACTCAGCCAGGGTCGTCAAGACTTGAGAGAGGAGGGGGTGAACGAAAGGTAGCAGGCAATCACAAGTAACCCTGGTAGAAGTCCACGACGGCGTGAACCGGCGCAGGGGGGATTTGATCCAGGGGGGGGGGGGCCCCCCCCCCGACGAACAGAATCAACTCTTACAGGACCAAATTCAATGCACAATCCCAACTCCTGATTGTAATACATTTTTGCTAAAGCAAGGAGAACTCAGGTAGCTCAAGCTACCTTTCGTGACCTGGGAACCAAGCCTGCACCACAAGATTGAACCTGAAGGATGTGAAGAAATCAGGCAAAATTGAAAGAGCAGTGTGGCCAAGCTGCAACTTACGAGAGTCCAGACTGTACACGGAAGCCCTGTCTGCCTGTTCTTAGCTGCTGTTGAGCTGAGGTATGCCAAGAATGCTCCTTGCGCTCCAAGGAAGCAAACGTTGAGGAAACTCCAGAACAGTAGGGCAGCTGCTGGCTGCCTGTCGAAGTCCTGATGAACACGCTTCCACTGATAGGCTGTGGAGCAACCCAAAGTTAACACAATGTTGAGCGCAAAGGCGCCCCCACAAGCAGCCAGGCACAGAACTGGTCAAAGAATCCACCAGACAGGTTCATGTCTTTGAACACCTCCAGCTCGCAGTGGTTGCTCTTCCTTGGGACAGAACCTGAGTAGCCATGGCCATGGCCAGCACAACAAAAGCAAAGGGGCGAATCCATGACCTCAATCGCTCCCCTGGCTCTGACACCGTGCCCATCACTTCATCCACTTCTTCATCTGCTTGACCGCCATTCGGATGTAGTTCCACACCAAGGCCGGACATTTCCATTCGAGCAGCTCTGAAAGGCTAAGGTCTACTAGACTTTTGAACCGAGAGCCTTCAACGTCCATCTTGCTTTGCACTGCCGACATTTACGCACAAAGAAAGCAAAGTGTATGGCTATGAATCACTCAACCGCTTTGGCAAGTTGAAAGACGGCAACTTACCTCACCAATATGCTAGTAAGTTTCCAACTACGTTTTTCGAATATCTTTCTTCAACACTGAGATTCCAACCATCGACACCTTCTGCAAAGTCTTCCGAGTCACCCTACGAGAGCCCGCTTCAAACAGTTCCCCAACCACGATCAGCAAAATGAGATGCGATTGCTTTTGATGAAGACTGACTACTTTGACTAATTAGTTCCATCGCACCTGTTCAAGGCTTGCAAGGGGATCCATCACTTTGCTCTCTGACTGGAGAGTCTCTTCTTGCTCCTTCTTGAAAACGCACTCAGATTTCCAAACTGCTGGCAACGTTGATACAAATGCTGGTAAAGTAGCTTGACAAAGTTCTGACAGCTTTGACTTTGACAGTTTGACCGCAGTCCGCAGCCCTGTCAATATGAAAGTCAGAGACACGTTCAAACACTGCTCTAACCTTTTGTCAACAAAATAGTTTGACAGTACATTGCTCTTTCAACAGTAATTATGAGAACAGAGTTTCAAAATGTGTCAAGACGTCTCAGCCCTGTGAAACGACCACAGAAAGGCACCGGGAGCCTAACGCATCGTTTTGTGAAGCAGCACCTCAGTCGCACGAAAAACACCACACATCGCCCACGGCGAGGGGGCCTGGGCTCCGTGCCGTGGTCAACACAAAGAGACACCTCAGGGCCAGCTATCAGCTGTCGGTGACCTCAACCATGGAAACTCCCAAGCTGAGACCTCCGAGACCGTGACCAGGTCAAAGTACCAGCGCACGAGTTTGCAATGATCGCCAGAGCTCCCTGGTCATGGTCGAAACTTGTTGCATTCCTTGAACTCACAGAGCAATCCGTCTAACACATTGGAACCATTGGTACCATTGATTCCACACCTCGCGTCGATCTTTGTCCGCATGTAACGGTGCAAAAACCTCCAGCGAAACCTGGCAAGAAATAGATCAAAATAGCATCAATGCGTCGACAGGTGTGCTGCAAATCTGCCGCCTCCTCGAGCTGGCATCAAGCTGCCTACGTGACATGTCGACATGGATTCCTTCTGTGATATTGAGTCTGTCTTGTCTCCCTTCAACTCCAGATACATTTAAGCAAGACTCCGTATGAAAGTTCTCATCTTCCAAGAGACTCTCCAAATCGGGGCCTCGTTCTCTCTGTCAGCCACAACCTTGATAACTCGCTCAATGCTCAACAGGACGACAAATACATAGTAATGGGCAAAGCGCATATGCATATGAGATCCCAAGCTGCCGACATTGGAGTTAGCATCCACCGGACTTTTGCATTCCTTTCAAGATACCTGCTGCGTTGCCGACTGGACAGGTGCAAACAATCACCCAGTTCCTGCCTCTTACTCCATTTCCTCACCGCACTAAAGGCAGACTCCAAACCTGCAGAGGCGAATGCTGGTGGACATCGCATCTTCATGTATCTACTGCCCAATTCTGCCCAATACAGATATGTTGAGCTAAACTGTGTTGCTTGATCAGTGCCAAAGTTAGCATCATGTCAGCATCTTGCCCTGAATGGGTGTGTGTGTGTGGAAATGAAGAGCCAAAATCCCATAGCTTGGGGTTATGTCTCCCATTAAATTGACTGTTTTGGTGGCACCCTCGTTTTGAGGCATACCGAATTTCATGCGCTGAATGACTTCATAAACCCTCCAGCACTGATGGATACTCATGGTCTTAGTGTTGCTGGGGTCAGTGAAGCACTATCTGAACACTGAAAAGCAAGAACTTCCCCATTCCGTCTAGAATGGTTGGTTGATAGGCTTAGGGTATTCTTATGAGTTTTAGTCAGCCGGAATTTTGAGCCAGGTCATCTTCCCAACCGTTTAAATTGTGAATTTCCTCGTCAACACAAAGACCCCAACAATCATGACCCACCAAAAAACATCGCTTGTGCCTTCATTGTCTCCCGCCACGCTGCCAGGGTTGCAGCAACCTCATCTGTGCCGGACGCCTGGCGAAAAGCATGGGAGGGATGACCGGCAACATGGAGCGCCTCGTTCAAGCGAAAGACAAACTTGTTGTCAAGCAAAAGAACAAAATATCAAAACTAGACCCTCCGCCTAGCTTGGTGGTTTTTTTATGTAGTAAAGAAAACCTCCAAAAAACATCGAAAAAAAAAAAAAAAACACCCCTTGCAGGCTCCTGGAAGTTGTTCATCCACGGAAGTCCAAGGGCTCAGCTGTAACAACAGATGAAAACTGCGAATCTGAGGCATCAACTTATGCAACTCGATGCCGTGCTGCAGCAGAAACCGCCTTCTTTCCATCGCAGAGGCCGTGAGTTTACACTGGCATTGAAATCAAGGCTATGACAAATGATCTGTTGACAATTGATGATGTTGTCGTTCCATGGTTTACACTGAGGAAACTTCGATTCAATGCTGTTTTGTCTCTCGCTGCTGTTTTTGTTGCTGCCTTTCCTTTGTTTGTCCAGTTGCCGTCATGGTTTTATGTTCTCTGCACTGTTTTCATCAAGAGTTTGTGGCAATACCTGGACAACATTAATGGCGCTCAGTGTCGTATGGCTGGTGCTGTCGATTGAGTACACGTGTCCATTGAAGAGCCTTTTCAACACGTAAACCGATTGGAGCAATCCTCATCAACAAGCGTGAGAGACTCGAATCCGGAGGGTGAAATGCTACGGACGCAAGCATGTTCAAGAATAAGCGGTGCAAACAACAAGTTTTTCCTTCAATCATGCGCAGCGGAACATCCTGTAGCGTCTTCCTGAAACAGCTGCACTGCAAATGCTGGATCTAGACTATGCACAAATACTGATTTAATGATACTTTTATATAGTATTTTTTGTTATAACTTATACCGATCACATTGACCATCAAAGGTCACCTTGTATCCCAACTTTAGCGACGAAGTCTACTAAGTTTACTCTTCAAGACGTCGTTTTTGTCATCCTTTTCGACGACTCTTCGATGTAACTATTTCAGAATGCAAGTTCTGCAGCGGTATGCAGGTCCTCGGCCAAATCATTCAACAAACCCAACGAACCACAAAGTGCTTGAGTGTGTCAGATGGTCCACCAACTTTCAGTTTGACTTTCCTCACCAAGCAATATTCCTGCTTGAATGTTTTTCTTGGTGCGCTCATTTGTTTGTTGGTGGTTCCTTCGACTCTCTAAAACAAGGATCCAAGTAGGTGAAGTCAAGTGCAGCTACCTCCGCCAGCTGGGTGATCGACGCTGCCGGGTTTTGGTTTTTTCTGCGTTTTCTCGTCTTCCTACAACTCGGCCGTGGGTCAAAAACAAGAATTCAGCCCGGGCAACAAAATGTTCACGTACCTTTTTTCCAGTTGGGCTCGTCCTGGCCCTGCGATCAGGATGGTCTCGCAATGATCGAAAAACGTGGGTAGCAGACTTTACGGTAAACTACACTTCCCCGGATTTTTAAGCTCACAGCATGCTCTTTAGATGAGTCCGGCACACTCCAAAACTCGTTCCCTCACTCTTGAAGTTCTTCAAGTCAACAACAACTCAAGCTAACGGTGTGCACTCCTTCGGGCCCCTTTCACACTCTTATGGACATGCGAACTGACTGATAGCGGTGCCACACGCCAGCCTAAGATACCCAAATCCTGAAAGGTCCGGGAAAACCTTAGGAGCCTCGAGGTCTTCAAAAGGAGAAGTGGCCCAAAGCGGAAGAGAATGATCGACGATCCGACAGGGTGACGTCGTGGCGTGCAAATCTGCGGCTACTCAGGTATCATGTCTTTAAGGTTCTGGTTTTTTTGGCACGGGTGAAGACGTGTGCAGAGGTTGCACAGGTCATCTTATGCGAGTGAAAAGAGAGTTACGAACCAGGTTCAGCAGCCAACCGAATTCATCGCCCCTGTTTCACATCTCCTATTTTGGCCTGCACGGCCTTTCGAATTGCTCCCCAGATTGCAGC